CTTAGTTTCATAGTATAGTTTATACTAATATAGTTTATACTATAGTTTATACTAATCAAACTGAGTTCTTGTCATTTGAGGTCTGATTTTGAAATGATGTTTTGTTTTATTGACTTTTCAGTATTTGTTTCTTCTTTTCTCAGTTTAATAGTATTGTTTATACCAGAAGTGACTGGTCAAATTGAGTTCTTACCATTGTAGTTTCGTTTTAAAATAATGTTTAATGTACTACTGACTTCTCACTATTTGTTTCTTCTTTTCTCAGTTTCATAGTATAGTTATACGAGTGACTGAACAGACTAAGTTTTTATGATTTATGTTTGCATTGAAAGTGGTTTTTTGTAATACTCATTTCTCAGTATTACTTTCTTCTTTACTCAGAGTACAGTTTAAAATACTAGAATCATCCTGAGTTTTTATCATGAAATGATGTTAGCAATTCTACTCACTTCTGATTTGTTTCTACTTTCTCAGTTTCATATGCCAGAAATTGTTTCTTCTCTTTGTTTCCCAGTCTAATTTTTATAAGTGATTGATCAGACTTACGTTATCATTTAATTTTGGTTTTAAAGGTTTCATGTACTACATTTCTCAGTATTTGCTTTGTTTTTTCTATTTCATAGTATAGTTTGAAATAGGAGAAGTGACTGATCAGTTTAAGTTAATATAATTAACAAATAAATTGGTATTAGAATGATGTTAAATTGACTGCTCTCTTTTCACTGCTTGTTTCTTTTTTTGTCACTTTCATAGTAAAGTTTATACCAGGAATGACTAATCAGACTGAGTTTTATTCACTAAGTTATATTTATGAATAATTTTTTAGTTAATACTTCCCACTATTTGTTTTTTCTTTTCTCAGTTTGATAGTATAGTTAAAATATTAGAAGTGACTGGCCAGACTGAGTTCCTATTCTTTGAGGTAGACTCTGAAATAATGTTTTCAATTCTCACTATATTCGTAGTATAGTTTAGAATAACAGAAGTGACTGATCAGACTAGATCATTATATTAGGTTTTGAAATGATTTTTATGCACTAATGACTTCTCAGTATGTTTTTCCTTGTCTCAGTTTCATAGTATAGTACATACCAGGAGTGACTGATCAGACTTAGCTTTTTAAGGTTGGTTTTTAAATATCTTGCGTACTACTTTTTTTGTTTCTTTTCTCAATTTTATAATGTAGTTTAAAATACCAGAAGTGACTGTTCAGAGTCATTAACATTAAAAATTGGTTGTAAAACGATGTTTCATGTAGTGCTAACTTCTGTGTTTCTTTCTCATATTGATAGGAAAGTATACTTGCTGTCACTGATATTTATCATTTGAGTTTGCTTTTAATATAATGCTTCTTTTCTCAATTTCATAGTATGGTTTAAAATGCCTGAGGTGACTTATTTCACTTAGGTTTTATCATTTAAGGTTGGTTTTACAATATGTGTGTACTATTCATATCTCAGTATTTGTTTCTTTTTTTCTGTTTCATAGTTTAGTTAAATTACCAGAAGTGACTGACCAAACCTCAATCTTATCACTCGATGCTGATTGTTAAAAAGTGTTTGTTCTTAATTCTCACTATTTGTTTCTTAGTTTCATAGTGTAGTTTAAAATAATGGAAGTGACTGATCAGACTGAGTTATCATTTGAGTTTGGTTTTGTAACGATTTTTTGTGTACTTCCAAAATTTACTATTTGTTTTTTCGTTTCTCAGTTTTAAGGTATAGTTTAAAATACCAAAAGTAACTAATCATATTGAGTTCTTATCATATAAGGTCTGATTTTTAAGTGTTTTATTTTTTACTGACTTCTCAGCAATGATTTTTTTGCTGACTTCTCACCGTTGTTTCTTCTTTTCTCTGCTTGTTAGCATTGTTTTATACTAGGAGTGACTGATTAGACTTAGTTTGCATCATATAAGTGTTGTTTTAAATTGTGTATGTACTAATCATTTCTCAGTTTTTGTCTTCTTCCTTTCTCAGTTTCATTGTATAGCTAAACTACCAGAAGTGACTGGCCAGACTGAGTTCTTATCATTCAAAGTTGACTCTGAAAGAGTTTTTTAAAATTCTCACCATGTTTCTTAGTTTCATGGTATAGTTTAGAATAAAAGATGTGACTGAGCGGACTGAATAGATCATTTACATTAGGTATTGAGATTTTAGAGTTTGGTATTAAAATATTTCATGTCCTACTCATTTCTAAATATTTGTTTTTTAATTTCTCAGTTTCATACAATTTACTCCATGAGTGACTGATCAGACGGAGTTATTAACATTTAAAATTAGTTTAAAAAAATGTTTCATGTTGTACTACCTTCTGTTTGTTTCTTTTTTTCTCAGTTTGATATGAAAGTATACCTGCCATCACTGATAAAACTGAATTTGAGTTTGCTTTTAAATGATGTGTCATGTACTGTACTATCTTCGCACTGTTTCTTCTTTTCTCTGTTTTATCCTATAGTTAAAATACCAGAAGTGACTTAGGTTTTAACAATGAGGTTAGTTTTTGGATCAATAATTAATTTTTGATCACTTCTCACTATCTGTTTCTTCTTTTCTCAGTTTGATAGCTTCGTTTATACCAGGAGTGACTGGTCAGACTTAGTTTGTGTCATTTAAGTTTGGTTTTAAAATATGTAAGTACTCATTATTACCCAGTGTTTGTTCTTTTACTAGTTTCATAGTATAGTTAAAATACCAGAAGTGACTGACCAGATTGAGTTTTGTCACGAAAAATTTGGTCCATTGTGACAGATTGTTCCGGGACCAAAAATATACCATCAAATTACGGTCCCGAGTTGAATATTGGTCCGGTCCGCATATCATACAGACTCCCTAGGTCTTTGATATACAGACCAGTCCAGAGCCACGTGTGTCATGTACAGGTGGTCGGCTATAGTTGTCTGCTCAAAACTGTCAAAACGAGTCCGAATGAGTTCTTCTTCAAAATAAGTAGATTGTTTGTTTGAAGATGCTGTACATATGCACGTGAGCATGTGTATAGAAATAGTGATAATCTGATTGCCAATCAGAAGAGAGTGATTATAAAAAAAGCAGCTAAATTGGTACTAGAAGACGGAGAAGTGTTCATGAGGAAAAAAGGCAAAGTAAGTATATATATTAGTATATACATATTTTATATATACTAACAATTATACAATATCTGTACAATCATAACCAATTGATAATATTTAATCCAGCTGGTAAAGTATGTCATCCAGACAAGAAAAATTACTAATTGTTAAATCCTGTCACATTGAGCTGACGTCAGGTCACCTTGGAATGAAAAACCTTTTACAGGATAACCGAAAGATTTACTTGGATTGGTATTTATAAGGATGTCAAGAATGTGGTGAGTCTAAAATGTAGTATGAATTATATTATATTTATTCAGGTATCAAGTTGTGATGAATGTCAGCATGTGAAAGACAAGATTTGTACTTCTAGGCCTGAACTCCATCCTGTACCAGTCTGTGGACTAGTACAGGATGGAGTTCAGTCCATGGCATCACATTGAATTGGACTTTGTTGGGCCAATTTCTCCTGTTTCTACACAGGGTAATAGACACATACTAACAGTGTCTGACTATTTCTTTAAATGGGTCTGTGGATTTGTTCTGCCAAATAAAGAAGCAATAGGAGTTGCAGTTACATTAATGAAAGTAAAATATTAATGCATATAGTTTGGAGCAAATGTATCGTAAATGTTTAAATAAAAGCCCGGGCGTTTATTTCTTTCCAGGGGCAAAAAATTGCGTAAAATAAAAAAGAAAAAGCAAAACTGAGATTCGAACCCGGACCTCCAGGTTCATTGCACTCAGCTTAACAAATTAGGCCATTTGGGACACTCTAAAGATTGTGGTACTTATACTGACTAAAATATGCGTATCTATACTTGGAGATTCTTAGTACCAGGCATTTATTTAAGCCCGGCCTTTATTTGAACATTTACGGTATACAATCATAAAATATTTTTGTTAGTTCATGACAATGGGAATTTCCAAACTGTTAACAGATCAAGATAGTGAATTTAAAAATGCTTTAAATAAAGAGGTGATGACCCGTTTAAAACTTAAACATCATCTTGTCACTGCATATCATCCACAAGTAAGATTATTATTTCTCTGCATGGTGCTGTGTGTTTGTAATCATAGGCAAATGGTTTGGATGAACGTTTTAATCAGATCCTGCAGCGAATGTTGGTAAAGTTTTGCAGTCAAACAAAAGAATCCTGGGATGAATATATAGATACATGTGTTTATGCATATGACACAGCGAGGTAGAAATGTAACTTTTTTCATTTACTTCTATGAAACCTTTTAAGGCATGAAACATCATTGTTTACACCATTTGAGATAATGTTGGAAGAAAAGCTATTCTTCCTGTTGACATTAATGAAGGTGTGCAACCTGTCTATATACCACTTGATGATATTGGTATTGAAGAATCAGTTGAGTGTTTGACAAATAATTGTATACGCATAATGAAGGAAGTGAGCTGATTACACAGAATATAATCAAAGCTCAACAAAGACAGAAAGAAGTTTATGACAGGAAGCATAGCAATCCCTGCAAGTTTTAGGTATTATATTGGTAGTGTGTTTGGTGTGACTTCCCATTATAATTGGCTATACATTTTTCAAAACATTGCATTATTTTCAAGATTTGTGTAGTATAACCTGACTAGGATATTGATAAATCCCATTATTTACAGATTGGAGTTGAAGTACTAAAGAAGGACTTTAGAAGACAGAAAAGGAAGGGTTGGAAATTGGATCATAGGTGGGTAGGACCTTATACAATTGCGTAGGATTTTGGGAAAGGATTCTATAGCCTAAGTGAAGGAGCGGATAATATTGTGAATAGAATTAGTCATGCACATCTTAAGCTTTATATTCCACCACGACCATCTGAAGAAGGATCACTTGTTAATCCATTATTTGAAGAGGTTAGATTTATAATATATGGTACTTCATGGCACATTGACACTAGATTAGCAACTCAAGCCCTTTCTCACATTCTGTTCAAACTGTGTCAATAGTAAGTGTTACTATAATCAGCGATATACATGTAAATGGGATTTTAAACTAAATTGTTTTATACTATTTTTTCTTGCCTAATAGCACTGTATTTTATAAATTGCTTCATTTGCAATCATATATGTACATGTTTAGGTAGAATCTGTTGACTTACAAGATAGTATTCCTCAACTTTCACCACCAATAATTAATATCAGGAAGGTAGATTATTCATTTAGTTTGTCTGTTTTTCTTAGCTATGAACAGGATTTAACTGCAAATGCATCGAATATGCAAGTAAACAACCAAAGCAGTATTACTGAGGTACATTAAAAATTTTACATTTATTATCAAGAATCGTTCTTAATAAAACTACAGGAGTCATGGTGCATAGATTCTTTTCCTATCACAGAATATCTCTCAAGTACTGATTGTAGAAGGTGGGTTCTTACCTTCATTTTTTGATAATTCTGTTAATATCCCCTTGCCAATTCCTAAGGTATTCTCTTTATGGACTAAATTAATTAGCTTTATTTTTATGCAGTATAAATGTATGTACTATTAATGTATTTTTTAGCAGACTTCAACTGTGCATTGTACTGAAAGGAGAGATCTGCTAAAACTCCTGCTACATCAGTGGTCAGCATATTATATATATATATGTGATACATAACTTAATGTATTTTTAGAAGACTTCAATTCCTAACGTGAAAAATTTAGCTTTTAGAAAAAGGGAAAAATTGCGTAGTAAAAATAGAGAAGGAAATGTGAATTCAGAATTAATTGATCTTGATTCTGTTGCTGTTGCAAAAACCGAAGATCCACCAAAGTGGGTTTACAATTTAACCATTGCAGCTGAAAAGGTTTTACTAAATGGTGAATAGTTAAACGATAGAATAATGAATGCTTGTCAAGAATTGATTAGAGGCAAATATCCCCAAGTGCTTGCCTTCAGGACGTGACTTGTGGACATGCACTGTCATTTGAAGTTGAAACTGGAGAGTTTATTCAAATAATCCACACTGGCAGAGGCCATTGGGTAACACTATCAACAATTGGGTGTGACAGTGCAGAAATACATGTTTTTGATAGCATGACTCCAGTCATAAGCAGTTGCTTAAAAAATTAAGTTGCATCATTACTCTGCAGCAAGGCTGACATTATTACTCTGAGGTATGTGGAGTTATGTGCCATATATATATACTTTTTGTGTTACATTTTGGTTTAAGCAATGCCAACTACAAAAAGGTTCTATTGATTGTGGGTTATTCGCTTTTGCCTTTGCTGCTGTACTGGCATCTGGAAAGCATTCAAGCGCATTTCATTTTAATCAGCTTGAGTTACGTCAACATCTTCATCAATGTCTTGTACAAGGATGTCTTTTACCATTCCATGGAAGGGACAATAGAAAAACAATCCGCCATCAATATTTGCTTCATATATACTGTAATTGTCGAATGCCTGAGTCTTTTTCTCGTAAAATGATTAAGTGTGATGGATGTCGAGAGTGGTTTCACCTTGGTTTGTGTGTTACAGAAGATAGTGATAAAAGAAATAACTGGTTTTGCAGGTCTTGCTTTGATTAATAAGAGACAATATTTGTTGTACAATGAAGTTTATTAATACTGTTTCATAGATCTAGTTATTTTCATATAGTATGATGTACACATTCATGAGTAGTTTTTTGACGACTGTTCTAAGGAGGAGTTGGGCTATATATGAGACTAAATTTGGGCCTGAGCATAAATACTAAGTCTGTTTCTAGTATCTATGGCCTGAGAGTGGTGGGGGACCAAAATTTGCAAGTCAGTGTTGGTACAGGATCTAGTTTTGCAATGAAAGTTTGTAGAAAATGGTCTCACAACATGGACCAAAATTGATTTAATGGGACCTATTTTTTCTTGCAATAATTGGTCTAAGGACCAGTTTTATCTGGTCCTGGACCTTTTTTGCAATAAATTTTGGTCCACGGACCTTTTTGTACTGGGACCAAATTTGCCATGACAGTTTTTAATTTGAGGTTGATTCTGGAAAAATGTATGTTCTTTTTAAATACTTCATGTACTACCAAAAAATTACTATTTGTTTCTTGTTTTCTCAGTTTCACAGTATAATTTAAAATATCATAAGTGACTAGTCAGACTCTAGTTCTTATCATTTTTAGGCCTCATTTTGAATTGTTCTTTAATGTTTTACTACTTCTCAGTATTTGTTTCTTTTTTTTAGTTTTATGGTGTTTAAAATATCAGAGATGATTAATTAGACGAGTTCTTTTCATTTGACGTTGGATTTGAAATGACGTTACATGTTCTACCTACTTTTCATTTGTTACTTTTCTCAGTTTGATTTACCAGGACTGATTGGTCAGACATTTGAGTTTTGTTTTTTAAAATGATGGTTCATGTACTACTGACTTCTTTTCTGAGTTTGATAGCATATTTTAACCAGGAGTGACTGATCAGATTTTTTTTATCATTTAAGTCCTGTTTTAAAATGTGTCATGTACTAGTAGTCATTTCTCAGGATTTGCTTTTCTTTTCTCAGTTTCATTTGATAGTTAATAATAATGACTGGTGAGACTGAGTTTTTTATCATTTGAGGTCTGATTTTGAAATGATCTTTCATGTTTTATTGACTTCTCAGTAATTGTTTCTTCTTTTCTCAGTTTTGATTCAAAATGTAATTAATCAAACGGTTCCTGCAATTTGACTTTGGTTTTGAAATAATGTTTTATGTACTACTGAGTTTTTACTGCTTCTTTCTTACAGTTTCATGATATAGTTTAATAGAACCAATAAAACTAATCAGACTGAGTTCTTACCATTTGAGTGTGGTTTTAATAAGATGTTTAATGTACTTCTCACTTCTGTTTTTTGTCACTTTCATAGTAAAGTTTATACCTGGAATGACTGATAAGACTGAATTTGATCATTTGAATAGTTTTGAGTTTCATCATTTGAATTATGTTTATAAATGATTTTTTATTACTGACTGTTCACTATTTGTTTCTTCTTTTCTCAGTTTGATAATGCCTGACCAGATTGAGTTCTATCATTCGAGGTTGTCTCTGAAATAATGTATGTTCTTTTTAATACTTAGTATTGTATAGCAGAAAATGTTTGGGGCCCAAAATTTTCATGGATTTTGCGTTATTTTCAAACCCACAAAAATGAAATCCACGATAATTGATCCTATACGAGTTTAAGATATGCGAAATATAGAAAACCACAAAAATTAAAGCCACAAAATTGATTTTTGGACAGATTTGTGAAATTTTGTGCAATGAAAATTTTTGACTTTCCTGTATTTGTTTCTATTAGTAGAAATAGTGCATTTAAAAGAAAAGTACTGACTGATCAGACTGAGTAGATCATCTAGATATATTAGGTTTAAGAATGTTTTATGTACTACTGACATCTCACTATTTGTTTCATCTTTTCTATTTCTTTTATACCAAAAGTGACCAATCTGATTGAGTCTTACCATTTGAGATTGGTTTTATGATGTTTATGTACTACTCATTTTTATCTCAGTAAATGTCGCTTTTTTTTCTGAGTTTCGTTGTACTTTTGAAGGAGTAACTGATTATACTTTTTTAATCATTTTAATTTGGTATGAAAATGTTTTAGGTAATAATTATTTTGCAGTGTTTGTTTCTTCGTTCTCAGTTTCATAGTATATTTTAAGTAGCAGAAATGACTGATCATGCCTGAAAGTGACTGCCAAACTTATATCGTTTTTATCATTCGAGGTTGACTCCTAAAATGTGTTCTTTTTAATTTCACTATTTTGTTACTTTTGAAGTTTAGTATGACAGACGTCACTGATCAGTAGTAAATCATGGAAAGTGATGTTTTATGTACTTCTGACATCTCACTATTTGTTTCATTTTTTTCTCAGTCATATTACTGTTTATAATAGTATAGTTTATACCAGAAGCGACAAATCAGGAGTTCCATTCCTACCATTTGAGTTTTTTAAATGATACTTAATGTACTGCTGACTTTTCAGTATTTGTTCGTTTCTCAGTTTTATAATATAATTTAAAATACCATAAGTGACTTATCAGACTGAGTTTTTATCATTGGAAGTCTGATTTTCTAATGATTTTTCTTGTTTTACTGACTCCTCATTATTTGTTTCTTTTTTCGTCAGTTTCATAGTATAGTTGATATCAGAAGGGACTTATCAGACTGAGTCCTTACCATTTGAGTCATGTTTAAAAATGATCTTTATTGTACTACTCACTTCTCACTATTCCTTTTTTGTCACTTTCATAGTGAAGATTATGCCAGGAACAACTAATCAGACTGAGTTTTATATCACATGAGTTTGGTTAATACATGATTTTTTATTTAGTACAGACTTCTCACTATTTGTTTCTCCTTTTCTCAGCTTGATAATATGGTTAAAATACCAGAAGTGACTGACCAGATAGATTTCGTATCATTCGGGGTTGACTCTAAAATAATGTATGTTCTTTGCAATCCTCACTATTTTTTTAGTGAGATGTATACTTTAGAATAACAAGTGACTGATCTGACTGAGTAGATCATTTATATTAGGTTTTATAATCATGTTTTATGTACAATTAACATGCTACTATTTGTTCCATCCTTTCTCAGTTTCAAAGTTTGTTCCATCTTTTCTCAGTTTCAAAGTATAGTTTATACCAGAAGTGACTGATCAGACTGAGTTTTTACGATTTGAATTTGGTGTTAAAATGATGTTTAATGTACTACTCACTTTTTACTTTACCTTTTTTGTCAATTTCATAGTATCTAAGTCTATACCAGGAATGACCAAACAGACCGAGTTTTATCATTTGAGTTAATTTTATTATGATATTTCATTTAATAGTGACTTCTCACTGTTTCTTCTTTTTGCAGTTTGATAGTATATTTTAAATACCAGAAGTGACTGACCAGACTGAGTTCTTATCATTCGAGGTTGACTCAAAATAATGTATGTTAATTTCAATTTTTACTATTCGTTGCTTCTTAGTTAAATGTATAGTTAAGAACAGCAACTGATTAGACCAAGTTCTTACCATTTGACTGGTTTTAAAATGATGTTTAATGTACTAATGACTTGCTACTATTTGTTTCTTCTTTTCTCAGTTTTGTAGTATATTTTACACTGGAAGTGATGAATCAGATTTAGTTTTTTACAATTTAAGTTTTGTTTCAAAATGTTCTGTGTACTACTTCTTTCTCAGTATTTGTTCCTTTTTTCAGGTTCATAGTATAGTTTAAATTACCTGAAATGACTGATCAGACTTTGATGTTGGATTCTGAAATGATATTTTGTTTTTTAATGTTCTCACTATTTGTTTCTTTTCTCAATTTAATGGTATTGTTTAAAATACCAGAAGTGGCTGATGATACTTAATTTTTTCATTTCAGTTTGTTGTTAAAATAATGATTTATGTCTTACTAACTGAGCTACTTGTTTCCTCTTTTGTTCTCATTTTCATAGTATAGTGTAAAATACTAGAGGTGACTCGTGTTAGACTACATAGGTTTTATAATGTGAAGTTGGTTTTGGAAACCATGATTAATGTCACTATTTGTTTCTCCTTTCCTCAAATTTGTTTCTTCTTTTCTCAGTTTGATAGCATTGTTTATACTAGGAGTAACTGATCAGACTTTGTTTGAATTATTTAAGTTTGGTTTTAAAATATGTATGCACTAAAATTATTTATGTGTTTGTTCTTCTTTTCTCAGTTTCATGGTATGGTTAAAATACCAGAAGTGACACCAAGCAGACTAAATCATTCTTATCATTTCAGGTCTAATTTTGATGTTTCCTGATTTATAGTATACTTAAAATACCAGAAGTGACTACTAAGCAGACTGAATCATTCAGGTCTAATTTTGATGTTTCCTAATTTATTGACTTTTCAGTATTTTTTCAGTTTCATAATATAGTTTTTATCAAAAGTGACTGATCCGACTTTGTTTTTTATCATTTTAGTTTAGTTTTAAAATGTTATATGTAAGAAGGATTTCTCAGTAGTTGTTTTTGTCAGTTTCAGTGTAGTTTAAAATACCAGAAATGACTGATCAGACTGAGTTCTTTTCATTCTAGGTTGGATTTTGTTCTCATTTGTCTCTACTTTTCTCAGTTTGATGTACCAGACTCGACTGATCAGACTGAGTTCGTTCT